GTAAGACTCTATCTCAAAAAAAAAAACAAACCCAAAAAATTACTTATAAAAAAGAAAAGCCAATTCTTGTGAAACAAAGTTATGGTTATAAATAACTATGGAGTACAGTATTTATACTTAGTATGGGACAGTTATTTCTATAAGTACAAAACTATCAGAACACTTTGAATATGTTCCCATTAGACAAAGGAGCCTTGAGAACACAAGACAGGAACTCATAATGACCATTTATTAGCATAATGACCATTTATTGAATGACTACACGTTAAGCTCATCATAAATATTATTTCGATAAAGCTGTTATCTACCATATATGGTAAGTGGTAAAAAGATTAGAAAAAGGGTCTTAATCCAAAGTCTGAGCATCTAACTGCTACCAATACCTGCACGGTGTATTATAATTGAGAAGGGTGGCAGGCAAAAAGAAATACTTGAAATCTGAAACCCTTCTCATTCATGATGTGTATGCAGTGCCTAATACAGTATCAAATATGTAATAGAACCTCAATAATTGTTTCTTATTCGATTTGCAAAGAAGTTAGTATTGCCCCTGTGAAATAATTAAGCACCTAAATAAACAGAATTAATGATGACAACAAAATGATGTATGATAAGAAGGGAAAGATTAATCCCCTGAGATTTGACCATCACAGAAGTCACAACTGAGTTTAAAAATCTCGTAAGATCACACAGAATAACACTGTTCACATCCTGTAAAAACCAACAGGGAAAGAAAATTTATAAATTACATTAAAAACATTTTCCTTGTGAAGAACACTTTGCCACAGGTATACAAGCCCAAATCTTTTTGTATTCCACTTATTTCATTTTGGATTATTTTAGTAAAATGTATTAGTGCTATTAAATGTGTGTGTGTGTATACATACATACAGAAATCTCTTATAATCCTTTATCTCCAATTCTTTCATCCACTTTCAGCTTGTTTCCCTTTTTAAATCTATTAATGGTGAGACTTTTTAAATTAAAAGCTAAAATAACAAAACATCTTTTTATGACTTCTGCCCATAATGACGCCAAAGAATTTCATGAAGATAAAATAAAGTAATACAACATTATATTAAAGCTATAACTTAATGAGCACGAGTTATATATCAGGGGCTGTTATACATCATCCCTAATCCTTAAAACATTCTGGTTCATTAGTTAATATTCACATTGTCCATGTGAAAAAGGACGCGTGAAGAAGCTGAGTAACTAAGGAGCTCAGGTTCACAATCCGTGTTAAGCGCCAAAGCTGTGATTTAAACCCGGGTCGATCTGACTCCCGTGCTTTCCATCTTCCCAGCTGCTTCGAACTACCTGTGAAAAGGATGCACGCTGTTTTATGTGGTTCTAACTGTGGCAGAGTGTGTGAATTATACAATGATCTGGTAAAACACGACGGACTAACAGATACGTGAGTTACAAGATACACATGGAGACATAAAAAATAAATATGAGGGAAATCTGAAAGACTAGCAAAACAGCATGGGAAAAGTGGCAAAACCAGGTCATAGCTATCATATGGTTTTCATAAAACTGTGCTTTATGTGGTCTTTAGGTCTTAGCCTTATCAAAGGAATTATTTTAAGATTAGCATGAAGTCATTTTTTAAAATATCACTTCTTTTGAAAGGAATGTTTACTTTTTTAAAAGTAAATTTAGTATAGGTTCATTGTAAAAAAAAACCTGAAAAGGGCAGAAATTGTTCATCAATACATTAATAACTCCACTTAAAAACCATCAGAATCTGCCTCTTTCTGTAATATACATCTATGAATATACTTTTAATAGAATTAAATTATAAGTAGTTTCCCTCTGTTTCTTTTACTTAACATTGAGTTTAGTTTTCTGCATATTATCAACTATTCTTCAGAATGTTTCTAATTATAGCACAATGTCTTATAGAATAAATGTACCATAATTTAATAATTCTCTTACTATTCAGTTAATTATCTTGCCATAGGGGGATTGAATACCCTTTTACATAAAATCTTCATATTTGATATATAAAAGTAGATATTTCCTTAGACTACCTCATCTTTTAATTAATATTTTAAACTCTACAGACATACATTTTTGTATCCTAGTTCTCATTTCAATGTTCACTATTTTTGTACAACTTTTTTTGTGTGTGGAACAGTTTGATTTTTTAAGCATTTATTTGCTTAAGAATACTACCAAACTTAGATGTATGCATATGCATAATATACTTTACCAAATATACTTTCTGACCACAGAAACACATAGTGATAGAAACAAGAATCAACACTCATAAAAATTACTTGTTCTTTCATGTTATAAAGAACCAAGAATAGACGATATGTAGTCATTGGCATATACTGTTCTTATTAAGATAATAGACATGGTTTCCTTTGTTGATGTGTTCACTTTTCGACCGCACTGGGTACTGATCAAGAAGATATCTAAGAATTCTTATATATTCATATATTTCTATATTCATATACATATATAAAGTCATGTAATGATTAATTATGAAACAGTTTAAGAGCCACCATCGGACTAAAGTTACTGTGGTTTCAAACAAGTGAATTCTTTTTTTTTTAAAATCAAATTTATTGGTACACTTTAGGTACACATAATGATCACATTCATCATAGAGAATTTGGACCTGTACATGATATAACTTGATTCTCTTTTTCCCATTCACCTACCCTCCCTTCAAGCCCTCTTCCCCTCTTTATTTACAAAAGTTTTTGGCACATGCCTGTAATCCTAGCACTCGGGAGGCTGAGACAGGAGGATCACTGCAAATTTGAGGCAGCCTGGGCTATGCAATGAGCTCAAGGCCAGCCAGAACTACATAGGACAACCCTGTCTCAAACAAACAAATAAACAAATGAAAGCTTTGCTTACACTTTTTCCTTCTTTTCTCATTTTTTTCTTTTCCCTTCCATCCCTTTCCCTGCCCCTTTGCTTAGTCCCTTCCCCATTTGAACATTTTCTTTCTATTTCACAATATCTGTTATACATTTTGGTCCTTATTTACATTTTCTCATACCAGAAAATCAATGTAGTATTTACACGGGTGTCAGATTTGTTTCACTTGAGTACGGCCTCAAGGTGCATCCATTTAGTTAGAAATGTCTCAGGTTTATCCTTATGGCAGAGAAGTCAAACAAGTGCACTCTTAAGCAATTAATTATTCATATTTTTTCTGAAAGCTCACCACAAACTTGCAAAGGTGTAATTACAAGAGTGTGTCAACATGGGAGGCTAAAAGAATGATGTCATAGTAATAATTTTCTCTGATGTTTCAAGTAAAATAGATGAAGCCTTTTTTAAAGTAAGTGAAATATGTGAACTAAAGATATATTTTGAAAACTAATCTTTAAAAATCTTTAGATTTTCATTTTGTATCATTTTGTAGTAGGTGTTTGTAGACAGCTTTGTATCAGAAAAACTATATAGCACTGTTATTTTTATCAACTGAGGCAGCTATAAAAATACATTAAACAATTTTCATATATTTAGCATTTACAAAAGTAATATTTTGTTATTAATGATGAATACATGATTAACAAGAATAAAAAGTAACCAACTTTTCATTTTATGCATACATGATTCAAACTGCTCAATCATGGGGAATAGTTAAGCATATATCAATAAATAAATATTTAAAGTATATGCTTAGTTATACAAAAGTTAAACAATAAATATTTTGGTCTAATGAGTTCCTAACCAGAGATAAATAGGCTTTGCAGATTTATTAAATTATCCAGCTACTTATGCAAGACATACAGAAAGTTAAATTTGCATGTGTTTCTTGAAACAAATGTGCTTTGTGTGTGTGTGTGCGTGTGTGTGTGTGTGTGTGTGTGTGTGTGTGAGAGAGAGAGAGACTCTAAAGTCAGGAAACTCTCAAATTGTAAATCTATATTTGAATTTACTATTAACATATTATTAATTTTCCTTAAAATATATTACTCTCATACTTCAAACTGAAACACAAAAATTTTCTACTCTTTTAACATCAATCTGGCACTCACCTGGAATATCTATTTATGATCACCCTGGTTACATTTTATTTCTATTTACCACAGTAATATTTTGAAGACAGGCTATAGTAGTTCATCAAACCTCTGCCCTAAAATTCCCAAATTCTCTCACATACATAACTAGTTTCAGTGACTTGAAAACATACTTATAACCTCAGACTAATCATATCAGTGTTTCTTAAAACTGTCCCAAATGATGTACGAATTTTAAACAAGTAATCTCTCAAATGCCTCTGGATACTAATGTCTATTATTTTATGAAATTCATCTTCCTTGAGACACAAAAGCAGTGTGAGGGAGAGAGCCACATGGGCTTACAAGATGAAGATCAAAGACTTTAGAATTACCTGATAAGTGTAACAAATCACAGATATGTTGAAAAATTTTCTCCTTGCAAAGATCTGTGAGTAAAGATAGACTCTAGAATATATTTAAGGCAGTGATTTATAACATTAAACTGTGGCAACCTTTCACTTTAATCTCAGAGAAAACATCTCTATCATTATCAGATGTCAACTTATTAATTTCACAAAACAGTTTTTTGAATCAAATGCAGGTTTCCATTGGCAATGAATATATGACTATCTTCATACAAAGGAGAAGTATTTCCTCTCAACAAGCTAAAACAATAAGTGGTATTTGAACTGCTGGTTGAAAGGTAGAGGCACTGGTAATCATTATTTCCCCTTGTTTGTTCAGGCCCTTCCAACAAAACAAACAACCTTTTTGTGATTGGATTGACATGGTGTTAACAATGCATTTAATGCCCAAATCAGTATGAATACAGGTAAAGCTCTCACTAATACCAGTACCAGGATGTTAAAGCCACCTATTTTCTAAGCAGCCAAAAAAAAAAAAAAAAAAAGAACGGAGCTTCCCCTCCTTTGGCAAATAAGGCAGTATGCTAGTATTCACCAAGACACATCATATAAAAACCTCTGTAGGATTCTGCAGGCCGTATGCTAACACTCAGTACTATACCTGCTGTCTTTTCAGCAATTTTAGCTTCCATTGCTTTTTCTTGGAGTTCCAATTTAAGCTTTAATTTTTTCTGTTCTTTATTTTCTCTAGTCAGTTTTTCTTGAAGCTAAAACACATTGAAAAACATATTAATTTTATCTGGCAAACATCTTCCACAAATAGAGTTAATTCCAAAGTAAAATTTTGTTTTTTCCTAAGCCTTTATGTAACCATTGTGAAACATTACACTTAGTTACCTAAATATATTAAATTCAAGTGAAAAAATTAAAGATGTAAAATATTTCATAAAGCAATGGATATTTTTAAAGATATGGAAATTATAAAAACGAACTTAGAAGGATATTATTATTAAATATAACCACTACAAAAGCAATCTCATCTATTCTTCTGTTTTAAAGCAAAACATTAGAAGGCATTCTTCTAATACAATAACTGACACCACATTTTACAGCTTCCCTTAGTAATTCCAATATTTTGAAACAAAATGAATAAAGATAATCATCTTAATATCTGATACAAATCTTCCTTTGTGAATGTTATCTCATCATATTCCATTTACATTGGCACTGGTATCTGACTTATAATTGGCATGCAATAACTGCTAAATGAAAGTACAGAAAATGTCTCATGCTCTCATATAGAATGCTTCCAAAATTTTTTTTAATTCCTTCCTAGGCTTTTATCATTTGTTTTGTTTTTCTTCAGACATGATCAACATTCCTAACTTCATTCTTTAGTTTGACTATGTCAAACAATAAGAATAATAAAATCAAATGAGGAAAATATGTAGTTTTTTTTTAAAGGAAGGTATAGAAAATGGACATTATTTAATAAAATTGCTTAGGGCTCAGACGAATGTAACTAAAATAAGAATTGGAAAAGAAATATAAAACAGCAATGACAAATGAGATTGCATAAAATGCAACAGTATATAATGCAAGCTAAATGACAATATCACCACGCCTTGCTATTTTAACATTCAATTTCATTCACTGTATTATAAAGACAAAATACAGGACACAGATACTAAAAAAAAAGAAAAGTTAAGAACATAACATAAAACCAAGGCCTAATATTTTATCTTTCCTAATGCTGAAGTAGTTTTACAACAGCAAAACTTAATTGAGCCTTTTTTTCTTTTTCTGGTAGGTGCCTATACACGGTACCACAGGTTTATAAAAAAGAAAGTGACATTACTGATCAGCAAGGGAGGAAACCACAAAAATTTATCTTCATACCCAATTATTTAGTTCAACCATATTCTGATGACAAAGAATGGCAACAGCATAAAGTATACAATAAAAGCCAAATAATGATGGGCAACAAAGAAAATTTCCATCAAAGGCTGAAAGAAGACTGTACAGTGATCACACTTCTTACATTATACCTTTTCATTGTTTGTTCTGAGTATATCCAATTCTTTTAGAAGAAATGATACTGTCTCTTTATCTATATCTGAAGTAACTTGATAAGGAATCATACATTCATAATGTAGGTCATTCTTTCTATATTCCATAATGCTGTAAGAAAGAAAACTAGTAAATAATACATATATATGATTTTATATAAGATCTATACATTTTATACATCAAATGGAAACATTAAATTACTTATGCAAAAGTACCCAGTTTTAAATTTCTTTTTATGCTATAATAAAATATTATGGGTTAACAAATAAAACAATTTCACAGAGATTTGTGATAATGAAGTCTGTGGAAAGCATTTAGTAAGCAACCTTGTAGTTAGTTCAGTGAAAAGTACTCAGTAAAAGCTTTTACAAGTTCTAGTAATTACTTCAATTTGTATCTTTGGTTAGGAGTCTCATTATAGTTCTTATTTTTCTGAAAATGGAAACAAAAATTGAATAATTTGTACAATTAGACGGAAAGTATCATATTTCCATTATTCAAAACATGAAAAATATATTCCTCAAATATTTAAGGGCAAGTATAATGGCTTTTTTAAACATTTGGTATGCTATCTGTGAATAGAATTAATCTGTAAACAAGTAGTATAAAGCAAGGGAAGGGAAAAGAGATGTTGTTTGAAGGCACGGTATTAAATTTTTAAGCACAGGTAAATCTTGGAGTCACAAAGAGAAATTTAGCAGTGAGGCCTGGGGTGATCTGAGCAGCACTACTTACCATTTATCTCCTGTTGCAACTATACTGGAGAATTCACAATCTGGCTTTAGGCCAAGCTCTACTATTTGTTTTCCCCATGTGGTCATAAAAACATTTAACCCTTCTTCATTCATTCTGTTTCTGCTGCCTAAAACATACCCCAAAATGCACCTCAGAAGAGGTTCTACTTCATCATGTGATAACACTCACAAATATTCTGAATAATTTTCCACCAAACAGAAACAGCAATTTATAAGAAAAACTCTGCTAAAATAGTATTCTACAAGATATGATTCTGTCCAGACTAAAAACAGAATTAAGTTTTTAAATTGGAATTGTAGCTTCATAGCACATGACCAATTATCAAAATACCTTAATCTCATAGATAAAAGTTATGAGCATCACAAAATTCAAATTCCTTCATGAGAAAGATATGATGGATGGGTAAAAGTTGCAGAGAGTGAAACAATAAGGAAAGCAAATAGTAGAGTACAAGGTCCTTTGTAAAGCTTCCAGATTCATTTAGATGCAAAATGGGGCTAACCAAAACCAAAACATACCTTTGGGCTGAATTTACCCTACAGCTGTTGCCAGTGTTTGGCTCTGATAAATACTAACCTATTTAAATCAATCTAACAATTATTTCCACATCCATAACGTAAGGTCATAGAAAATAATACCAAACAAGGAAAAAAATCTTATTGCCTCCCTTCAAACTCACCCTGTGCTTTTCCAGTTAGCAATTTGGACACATCCTATCAATATCATGGAAAGAAGACAAAACACTAGCAGATTCCCTACATTCACATATGTTAATGACAAGCCAAATTTAGCTCACACCTAAAGGGAGAAAAAGAAGGAAGGGAGAAAAAGTTCCTCTAGTTTGTACTTTCTAGATCTAAGGCAGATAGCAATACTCACTCGCACTTCTCAGGTGTCTCATCATCTGGATCAGGAATGACCACCTGAAAAGTCGCTGATCTATGCCCTGGCAGGTCAGCGTCTGCATCTGTGACTTCATTAACTAAGTCACTGGATTTCTGAATCAAGCTTCCCTTAGAATTCATAGTTAGTTGTTCGTCTAGCTGTGGACTTTTATTTCTCCCAGCAGTGTCTTGTTCAATATGAATATGGGCTATACCTATATTTAAACAAACAAAACACATCATAGATTAAAAACAATTCAATCAAATGAACATTTTAGGGAGGTAATTACTCTTATAGCTGGAAAAGTATACTTGCTAGTCTTGCTTTCACTGTAATCAAGTTAGTTTCCATTTCTATGGTCAAGAGACATTTAGGACAGTGGTTCACATCTTGGCTATATACTGCAATAACCTGAGTTTTTCAAACCCAAAGCTCATACCAAACCATACAGTAAATGAGTCAAAACTTCTGGGAGTAGGACCTGTTCCTATTTTTGAAGTTCCCCCAGATGATCCTAGCATATACTCAATGCCAGAGACCACAGGTTCATTGGTATTATTGTCTAGATTTTTCAAAATAGGAAAAAATGAATTAACAATTATAGTGAAGAGATAATATACATGGAACGTTGAGATCAGACTGCCTGTGTTAGAATTCCAGCTTTTTAAAGTGCTTAATGTTGGGCAAATTATTTGGCCCTTTCATGTCTCAGTTTCCTATTTGTAAAATATATACGTAACAGTAATTAATTAGGTTGTTATGAGGACTGAGTTAATGCATATAAAGTACCTGGCCTAGTTTCTGACACATCAATAAATGTTAGCTATTATTTTGTAGATACCTCCATAATATTAAAATGGGTATAATATAAAATGAATTATTTATAATTCACTTTTATCATTTTATCAGATATGTATTATATATATGAGGATATCTACTTCATAAGGCCTGGCTATCGCACAAAAATTATGTTAAGCAAAAATTACGTTAAACTAGTAAACAACAGCTACCTCAAGTAGTCTATACTTAATGGCATACTAAACTTACTTGGGGGAACCACATAACATACACACAAAACAAACACTGTCACTAGCAAATTACACCAACAGGCATAAATACTGATTGTAACTAGTACTTTGTTAATTCCAATTCATAAAATTTTCTAACTTTAAAAGCATATGAATATCACCTGCTTTTTATCTTGGGGCGATTTTTTGAGACCGGGTCTTGCTATACAGTGTAGGCTGGTCTTGAACTCACCATGTAGACCAAGCTGGCTTTGAACCCATGGTGATCATCCTGCCTCAGCCTCCCGAGTATTGGGATTTACAGGTGTGTGCCACTATACCGGGCCCACCTGCTTTTCAGTGATGATTTCTTTTTTTTTTGTCTTTTCTTCCGGTACCAGGAATCGAACTCACGACCTTGCGCTTGCCAGGCAGGCGCTTTGCCACTGAGCTAAATCCCCAGCCCCCAGTGATGCTTTCTTGAACCTATGAAATTTAAAATTTTTTCATGCAGAAGAGAGTTATTTTAGAATAAAAGGAAATAAGGGCATTAAATAAGGCACCTTCCACAAAATATTTATTCTGAATAAATCCTTTGTGCCTGTTTTAGGTATAGGCAGTTATAAGGTTCAAGCACAGATATTATACTTATTGATAAGCAGAAGTTAGCTCAGACATCCTTTGGGGAAATTACTCTTGACTTCACTTTCAGGGAAAGAAACAGAAAGAGAATGTGCAATCATAACTATATACCATGCGTTAGCCATGGCACTTCAACAGCACATTCTGTTTAAACTTTAATACATATAGGAACAGAGATTTTATATCTGAAGCTAGTTTGTCACATTTCAAATTATTACTTGTTTTGATTTAGATGTTCATTCACATTCTGTTTTTCTAGGATCGCCTCAAAATCTGAATGAGGGACTTTCATAAATGGACATTAAGAAAATCCTTCATAACATGACTTCATAATGAAATCCTTTCTAACACCAACATTTAACTTTGTAAGTAATTCAAATGAAAAAATTATAGTTACTTAAATGTCAAAATAACAAAAAGTGCCCCCAGTAACATATAAAAAACTCCTCTGGCCTATGCTATTCTCCTATACTATACTATTCTCCATAATACTAAATTATAGTTACTTAAATGTCAAAATAACAAAAAGTGCCCCCAGTAACATATAAAAAACTCCTCTGGCCTATGCTATTGTACTTAAGTTACAGAGATCCTCAGAAAGGACACAGGATGATCCAGGAATACTGAGAGCTATAGAAGTCCCCAGCTCCCACTTGCATCCTGAACCTCTAACTCATCTGAAATCATACGTAACATTACTGCAATTCATTCCACGCTTTTGCGTCCACACTTCTAGATCTAGGTCAGTATCTTTCTCATTTCATGGTTCTGTTCCTAAACTTCTGGTATTTATCCCATCCCTGATTTCTGTACTTACCATATGTTTACTAGTTTTATAGCTCTCCATCTTCGGGTTTAACCTATCCTAATGTCAAATTCTGTGAGCCCCTGAGGTCTTGGCAAATCACCACAACTTCACCTGTAACTGGTTATCTTCTCCAAATTCATAGGGCAGGTGTGAGAGGACTCTTTGTTGATCCCTCATGGATCTTAGTAATTACAGCCTCTTCAAGTATTATTAAAGTAAATTCATCAATTTCTGACACTTTCCCAAATTTTAAGTCTAAAATATTTTAAATGTTAACATTTTAAATAATCCGTATTGGCTAACTTGTCTCTGTTCCTGGATATTTCAAATTTTGTTTAGTAGTAAAATTAGAGTTCAATTAGAGTTCAAATTTGAACTGTTCCTCACACATTTGAATCCTGTTCTGCAAATCAGACCATTTGTACTCTTCTACTGAGAATTTGGAGTAGGCGAGATTGATTTATAAAAATCTCCCACCTTTCCATCTTTTGTTCAGTTTTAAGCCACTACTTTGGAAAATACGATTTCAGCAAATTATGGTTAAATTCTTGGAAGTCTTTCAATGTTCCTTCTCTCTTCATACTGCATTATCATGTATCAGTGTTCAATCACGTATACAGAAAGTTTGCTCTTTCTAATTAATGTACTAATTTAACAATTTACTGACCATTCAGGGAAGCCCTACAGTGTTATATGCACTGTGACAGGATACTGGAGAAACAAATATAAGTAAGAAACAGACACTTCCAGCAAAGATTCTATAATAGAAAGAGGATTGTCCACTGATGTAATGATCTGAATCCAATGTAACAAGACTTTGCTAGGGGTACAATGCATGTAAAATGTCAAACATACTCAGGCTCAAGTGAAAACTCTAGGAAGACTTTACAAAGGAATTTGCTCCAAAAAGAACAAGTAGGAATATGAAAAAATGAATTGTAAAAGGGCTAGAGTTAGTCTGGTAAAGAAAAATTTGACAAACTAAGAGAACAAGAATAAGAATCAGTACAAGGGAGAATAAATTCAGGAAATAGAAGATATTGAGTATGAAAATTATTAAAGAGAATAACAGGTAAAGGCAAAGTCTACAATGTAATTCATTTGGAAATGGGTTAAGGAAATAGATTGAGGATCAAGGTATTTGGAAAGGAAGAAAGCCAGGGACCACTTCCAAAGCACTGAAGTCACCCAGAAAAAATGGCAAGAAAGTGACAGAAAAAATGGAAGCCAAATAAATGCACAAGTTCTCAATAACAGCAGAAGTTAAACTACAAAAAGACAGAAACAGATGAAACAGCTGACATAAACTGCTGGCAGATTTATAGTCTTCTCTTTACCTTTTTATTTCTAAAACTGTCTCTCTCAAGTTGTGAAACAAGCACTAAAAATTCCTATATACCCTTCACCCAGATTCCCTTAAATACTAACATTTTACCACCCTCTGTTTATTATTTGTTTCTCTCTACCTATACATACACTTTTTTTTCTGAGATATTTGAGAATAAGTTGTAGGCATAACATACTTTGACTTTTTAGGACAAATTTTAAGATCTTGTATTTTGACAATTTTTCTTCCCTTATTCAAAGCCCAACTTAAATACAATTTCTAGCTTAGTTCCTTCTCCAACTAAGAAAAGAAGGTAGCACTTATTAACTTATTAAATTCAGTTTTTAGTTATTATCCTTAACCTCTCCAGACCAAAATAAAGATCTTTATGAAGTGATAATAGGATAAAGTTATTAAAAGCTTTAGGTGAGCTTATCTGTTACTGCCCACCAATTTGGAAAGAAATACATTTGGAAATATAAACAGATAAGGTAATATAATGCCACAAAAAGCAAAGTTATAAGACTGCTTTGCATACTGATTGACTAAAAAAATAAATATCAAAAAAAAAATGTTCACTTTTTTTTTTTCCCCAGTACCGGGAATCGAACTCATGACCTTGCACTTGCCAGGCAGGCACTGTGCCGCTGAGCTAAATCCCCAGCCCCAAAAAAACAAATGTTCACTCTGATTCAAACTCTTATCTCTATGTAGATGAAAACTTAAAACTAAAAGTCTATTGATCTCTCTCTCCCTGTTGCTGCCTAAAATGAAAACTCTTTCTAGTAATCCACTTCAGTGTTTAATCAATGTCTTTGTTAACTGTTCTATCATTATGACTGAATATTATTTAAATTCATTTCTTCATATGGAATTAGGGAATAAATTAATCTCTTCTTCATAGGTAATAAATCCATGAAGTCCAAAGTCCTTTTCTTAGACTTGAACAAAAGAAAACATTATATGACTACTATCTATCCCTTTATTTCCTATTCTGGGATACACTTTTATATGGGCATAAGAATTTGGCCATGTCAAAGCAATATTATTTCTCAACTTTTGCTGTTACTAATACCATCATTGCTATGTAAACTTACCTTGCTTTATCAAAAAGTGATGTTCCAGATGGCAATAGTACCTCTAACGTGCCACCTAGAACTACTTCTAAAAACAGTTTATCCATCTGGGCAAGTCAGGTGGATTTGGTGAAGGTTTTTTGAAATCTTAGTACTGATGCATATGTGTTGGCTAGCTGCATTATACACACTGAAGACCTAGCATCTATCTCTCTAGTGATCACACTGTTTTCTTGAAACAGCCTGGCTGTTTTGTTTTACTTCTGGAAATGTCAATGTCAAAATGTCAAAACCGACAATCTCAAACTAATGTTCAATCCTGAATTCTCTTAGTCTAGAAAGTTAACAGTATTA